AGATAAAATTAATGTTTGTGTAAGTAATTATTAGTAGTACAAAACAATTAAATGATGACACGACGATGAAAGAGCTCAATTTTAACACCAACTTCTACGAGTAGTACGACATTTATTTCATGCGAAGCCAAGTAATTGGGTCCGAACTGAAACTAACTACATAACTTTACCTTTATCTGAATAAGTTACATGTTTCGCAAACACTGTTAGATATGTTTCAAATATGCTTTATATACATTAAGTATTTTAGATCATTAAAATGTTTTGACCTTTAAATTGTAAAATAGAAATTTATGTACACAATTTGTAATGAGGACTATTGTATGTGAGATTGAATAAAAATAATAATTTAAATAATGTATACCACATAAATATAAAACATGAAAAAATCATTTAGAAAACACCATTATTTTATAAGTATTTACTTCTAGTTTTTAATTGACACTTTTAGAATGGTGTTATAAGTTTAACGTGTGTATGTCTTTGTGAACGTGTATCTGTGTATCTACCTGTAGCATAATCGCTCTTAAACGGATAGATTAATTTTGATCAAGTATTGTGAAAAGTTTTGAAATCTCCTTTCTAAGGAGAGGCCTATGTCCAGTCCATCATCATCATCATCAACAGCCTTTAACAGTCCCCTTACTGGAATTAATGCGATGTTATATTAGGTACATACCTTTGTATTGTTTGATTCTTCGACTGGCTGGTACTGTCCGTGGTCGTATCACGTGATCGGGTTAATTCCATTTTTAAACGTAATCTTGGAACCCAAAGTTTTAAAAGTTGTTTTTATTCTATGGCGGTAATTGAAAATGTTCGTTCTTAGCTATAATTAAAAGAAACCTGTTAAGCTGTTTGAAAATCTACAGTTATTTTATTAATTTAAAAGATTTACTATGGTAAGTTAGTTAAGTACTTAATTAGATTGTCGGTAATTTCATACAAAAATTAAAAGTATGACGCCACTCAACCGTTTAAACTTTGTTGAACTTTGTTGTAAATTTCCAGTTGAGTGATTATGTAATGTTACATCAAGCAGTTAATAAAATGATAAATGTCAAGAGATTTTTATTTTACCTATATATATATATATATATATATATATATGTCAATATAAATATAAAATAAAAAACGTTTACTTGTACTGTATAAATACAATACCATATAAATTCCTTATAGAGTATTTTTATATACCTTTATTAATAAAACGTAAACAATGTCAAAACAATTTTTGGTCATTCAGAACTACATACTCGTACTTATTTTTTTTTAATTCTAAACAATTTTATTTTTAATATAATGTGCCAATATTATGATTACCTGTGCAGCTGTATAATTGTTTTAAAATAAAGCAATAAAAAGAGTGCATGTGTTTTACTTATCTTTTTCGAAGAATAGTGAAAGTACCGACGCCACTCACTATCAGTAGCCCTAAACAATACCGGTACCAATAAAACATACCAGTTTTATAGATCCTAGAATAGAACAAAAGCTTCCAAATGGAAAACAATAGAAGTTTTAAGAATACAGACACAAAGTCAGTAAAATTGCTTTAGCATTTACTTCAGACAATTATAACCATTACGAAATTAATGTTAAGGGTGAAAATAGCTTACACTAATTTCAGGTATTAAAATTCCAAAAAAAAAAATACTAGGAAACTTGAAAGATTAGAGCTAGTTTTAAATTAGAGGGCTTTTTGAAAGAATTTATCTTTTGTTGAAATAGCCGTACTTTTACTACGTGCAGTTAACATAAATATTTAATATGGTGGTTTATAAATCATAACAAATACCATCATTAACAACCAAATACCAGTTTTTTTTTCCTTTGAAGTTTGCCGTTATATTTTAGAGATGTTTTGTAGTTTTACATTAATAAACAATGAAATCCGACAGCTGGCCTGACAGCCGATCATCACCTTTTTATTAGATGGAATGAAAGAAACGATTTCTAACTTTATCGAAGCTCAAAGTATCTAAAAACGGTCGATAATACCAATCAGGGCAGCCGTGAGCTTTGCCTACATGTTCTATACTACTTTTTTTATTTCTCATATGGCACGCCCGTACGTTATTAGGGGTACAAAATAGACCCAAGGGTACTTTACATTCCGAAATAAAATACTGTACCCGAGGGAGATCCGACTTGATAGACAAAATCTAGTTTTCTATAAAGTGATGGACCTAAATCACCAAGGTAATGAAAATGGTAAAATCATTTCACATTCGCAGATGTCCTCAAGGTGGTTGGCAGAGGCGATTACCGGTAGCTCTTACTGCCCAACAGCGGACACAGAAATCTTTTTTACCTACTACTACTACAACGTTGCTTGCCATGCTTCGGCATGAATGGGCCGGCTCGACCGGAGTGATACCACAGCCTCATAGAAAACCGGTGTTAAGCAATTCTTTCGTTGCCTTTCACTGAATGAGTGAGGTTACCGGAGCCCAAACCTTTCTCCCGCTGACTCGAGCGGGAGGGACTCCAAGGGTGGCAACGCACTTGTGACTTTTGAATTGCAGGTGTCTATGGGCGGCGGTAGTTGCTTACCATCAGGTGACCCGTCTGCTCGTTTGCCCTCTAATACCATAAAAACAAAAACAAGAACAACTTATAGATTTACAAAGAAAAAAGATAAGAATAGCATAGTCTTAAAATGTCCACGATAACACAAGATTTACTAAAGAGTATTTATAGGCAACTAACCTATCCTGTAGAAGCCAAAGTGTTGAAATGTAGGTATTATAAAATAAAAATAATTTTCTGATTTAAACCAAAAAGGCATTATTGTTAATAATTATGTCAAGTTAGTAACAATTTACTATAGAGTTCAGTTGTTATCAATGCCGATTAAATTCAACAATCAAGCTAAACGTACTTACGTAACTTTTTAAAATTTCCAGCGTCAAAAAAATGACGTAATGTGATGATATTTATGTTACAAACAAAAATGCAGGATGTTTTTCTTCCATACGCTTGCCTAATTGCAATTTTTAAAAAGGTTTAAACATAAAAGACTATCACCTAAAACGCTTGGTGCCCACTTTAAAACTTTTTACAATGACATGTAATATTTTGAGGCGGGTAATTTAAAAGTTCCATAAAGAGTTAGTGCTTGAGTTGTACCTAGTAAGTATAATAAACCTTATTGGAATGATAGTTTGACCTATAGAAAGTTCTCAACTACGTGTAGGTACCTATATATTTTTTCAAGTCTATTTAGCTTGGCATCAAAACATTGAATATATATTGTACGTGTATTGCTAATGAACGTTATCTTGTAAAGGTACACCACTATTAAATAAATAGTTATCAATATGTCAATTATACTAATTACAAAAGAGAGATTAGCATCGTGAAAAACAAGTCGATTAGGCATATTCTACAATGACTCGATTATATAAGATAATTACTCAAAATAAAATTAAAAATTAAAACGTAACGCGAACTACGTACAAACGGCACTCTGAGAAGTATGAAACTCGAAATTTTCTTGCCTGTTTTTTTTCTAGATCTGTCTTTTAAGCATTCGTCTTCCATAAACGTTTATACATATGGGAATTAACATGATCAATAGGTTTACATAGCTTTGAGTGGCCTGATCTTTCAACTGGGTTGCACTGGCCGGGGTTGAGAACTAAGCCCAGGTTCTAAAATACTATGCATTTTTTTAGTAAAACCTTTGTTGTACAATAGCATTTGAACAATCCTATAAATATCACTGTTTTACGTATTAAATTAAAATGTTCAGTTATTACATGTAATATATATATTAATAAATGTGATTTAATTATAATTTATTTGTTAGTTTTTATAAACAACTGTCACAGAAGAAGTTCTTTTTTTGTTTTATACTTTTTGTACAAAAAGAAAATATTTTTGATTTAAAAATAAAGTTTAGGTTTTTTTTGGTTACATTTTTTTTTATATTTTTACGTATTACGTTCGAGTTTTAGTATTAGCTCTTTTTAATTAAAATAATTTTAGATTTTACTGTCTAAAATATTATTTTTGACTAATGTCAATAACATACCAAGTAACAGTTGATTATATATCTATGTATAAAAATTAAAATTTACCAATTTAGCCCATTCCTTTGATACCCAACACGGCAACTTTCAATATTTTTTCCAACCCATGACTTTGTCTTCTCTATAGATTGTCATGTTAAGTTTAATGTATTTAGAAGTAATGCGATGACAGATCGTACCTACATACATATGGGCCCAAAATAAGGGAAGTTATTTATATTAAATGCAAAAATCGTGATTATATAAATATTTTAAAATCAAAGATTTAATATATTGTCTTTTATTTCTAGTTCTTTTATTTCCGACTATAAGCTTTAGGAATATACTTTTTAATTTTAAACTATGTTTCACAAATAACATCCCAATTATTTAATGCAAATAAAATAAAAGTTCCAAAATTCAAAAAATAAAAATAAAATACGGCAGACAACGGGCAATAAGATTTATATAGGTATTCTAGATTACAACTATTCTTTCAATAAGTAATAAGATACAAACTAGTGCAACATTGTGCAAGGTTTTTCTTGTTGATATGAAACTCTCGAGTTTAATTATTACAAATGTTTAACTAATTAATAACCAAACAATCAAATAGTAAAGTATGGAAGGAAGGTATAAATAAGACACGAACAGCTACCGATGCGCAGATTTCCATATCATTGTATAAAGGAACGTTTTTACGTAAGAGGCTTCGTCCTCATTCAGTAGGTACCTACAGTAGATCGTGCTAACATTGTCACACGGGCCTTGAACTTACACAACAGCTGAACAAACGACAATGCTGTCTCTGCGTAACTATTGAGAAACATATTTTCTGTCTAGTCAACAAATAGGTATGTGGTGAAAAATACGAATGCTACACTGATTCTTTGTTATTTTCAGTCGGATCTTATGATTTATGGTTAAGACTTGTATGCGAATAAAATGTTCCTTATTACTGTTTACTGTAAGATAAGTATAGTGTCAAATTGTACCAAGTTCAAAACTGTTAAGTTGAGCAGGTAACATGTTATGTTTAGTTTGCAACATCAAGTAAAGCCGAGAATGTAGCCACCGTCGGCAAACAAAATTAAGATTTGCATGAGGCGGCGGCGAGGAGTACGCTCGCCTCGCTCGCCACGCGATTAAAAATGCAGGGAGCGCGGGTGGGAACGCGCGGGCGGGGCGGGGCTCTGTTGCGCGCTCCCATTGGTGCGGCGCCGGAGGGGGGCGGACCCGGTGCGCGCGGGGAGAACTAGCAGTCGCCGCGCCCGGCTCGACAGCCTTCACACTACGCACGTAGCCTCCGCGCCGTACGGTTCGCGATACGGTATCTGACGCGACCCGCCGCGAGTCCATGTGAACGACCGACGGATCTCTCGTTGTGTAAAGTGAACGAAGGATCGGCAAACTGTACGCGCCGCAGGAAGACGACATGTTGACGATGGAGACGGACCTTAAGGGTGGTAGCCTGCACGCTACCGTGCCACCGCATCACGCACTTCAGCACGGCTACGGGTCGCTGGGCGCGCTCGGTGGCATGATGTCGCTGCCCCAGCAGCAGCCGTTAGCTCAACACCAACCGATGCAACATCAGCATCATCAGCAACTACCGCAACACCACGCTCAGCCCCAGCCACAGCATCATCAACCCCCAAACAATAATAACAACAATACGAGCAAAAACTCTAACGCTGAACGTGTCAAGCGTCCTATGAACGCGTTCATGGTGTGGTCGCGTGGGCAGCGCAGGAAGATGGCTTCGGATAATCCTAAAATGCATAATTCAGAAATATCAAAACGTCTCGGTGCACAGTGGAAAGATCTCTCCGAGACGGAGAAAAGACCGTTCATCGACGAGGCGAAGAGACTTCGCGCTGTTCACATGAAGGAACATCCAGATTATAAATATAGACCGAGAAGGAAGACAAAGACTCTTGCAAAGAAACAAGAAAAATATCCTTTGGGCGGAGGAGGACTATTAGGCGCTAGCGATGGGCAGCGGACCGCAGCTCCTACGGCCCAGCAGCCGCGCGACGTCTATCAGATGACGCCTAACGGATACATGCCTAATGGATATATGATGCACGACCCTAGTGCATACCAGCAGCAGGCCTATGGCTACCCGCGCTACGACGTCTCACAAATGCAGCAGGGTGGCTACGGCGGCGGGTACTATGGCGGTCAGGGCTCGCCATACCTGCCGCAGCCACCTTCGCCATCAACATACGGCCTTGGACCAGGTTCACCCGGCGGGTATGCGCTGCCACCATCGTGCGCATCACACTCGCCCAGTGGCTCATCCGCTAAGTCGGAGCCGGTGTCGCCAGGACCTCCTGGTATGAAACGTGAGTTCGGGCATGAGCAGCCGGCGCAGTTAAAGCGAGAATTTGTGCCGCACGCGCACTCGCACGATCAGCTTGGGATGAAGCGCGAATACGGTCAGCAGGACCTTTCGCAGATCATAAACATGTACCACGTACCGGACGAGCAGCGGTACGCAGCAGCAAACGAGCGCGTGATGCCGCTCATCTGAGAGTCGCCGTTCGCGTGTGACATCGACATCCCGCCGCTATGAGCTCGTCGAGTCGCAGCGCGTCCCATCTCTAGTGACTTTGTTGCGAAATGTTCCGCGTTAAGACAGACTAAGTGATCGTTATCTCCTTGCCGTACATACTTCTAGGTATGTCCATTTATTTGTTTTGTATGTACTGACGCTGTTAGTGTTGCGAACTGTTGACTAGCGCGCCGTCGGTCTGCCGCCGACGGCGGAATGTTCAATTAATGTTGTTGATGAATTATCTTGTATTATATTATGATTATTGTATCTTTTCATGATTTATGTTAAAATATTTTAAGTCGTGCAATGCGGATGAACGCTAGGATTCCGAGTGTTGTTCGAGTGCAAGACGATGTAGTGAGCGAGGTAATTTGAATACCAAAAAAATTGAAAAATTTGTAAATATAGTGTTAAAGACTAGAGTTAAAGTTTAAGTTAGTCAGTAAAACTTAGGTAGATAGCGATAAGTCGTGCCACGACGCCACTCTCGCGCGCCCGTCGTGCGTTGTACAAAATATTTGTTATATGAAATCGAAAGTTATAAAGCCTCGAAAGACTTAAATATTGTAATACGAAAATGTACAGTGAGTGTTATATAGTCAGTGGACACAAAAGTATATTGAAGAAAGATGAAGTTATCAATAAACAACGCGTTAAAATTGTACATGCTGTTTTGTTCCATATCCCCAAGCGTTACCCTAACCGAAAACTATTCGAATACCACAAAAGTGATCGCTTTAAGTAAATACCATGGACATGAGTCACTCCATGTCGAACGAAAATACACTATCATAAAACAGAACATTATTCAACTACCCCCAATCTGTTCTGCATCTGTTTTAAATTTTTAGAGCTGCAAGTATTGGGTTACTATGATCATAGTACTATATTGATATATTCGTTCTGATTGCTGAAGCTTATAACACATTCCACAGAAAAATAAACACAGTTGAAAAGTTTTTTAATTAGCTCAGGACACTTCCTTAGAAAAGACATCAACGCGTTAGCATAGTGTTGGCGTATGTTTGTAAGCTTAAAACATCTTCCGCTTTTGTTCTAAATGAAATTCATAATATAGGTTGTTTAGCTTTGAATAGATTTGTTTATATTAAATTGTTATATGACTGAACAAAGTGACATTTTATAGACGAGGTGATAAATAATTCACAATAGTTGATATTTTGCTGCAAAATTATGTTAACAGGGGCCGAATTATTATCAATGCAACATAATTTATTTCTTTTAAATACTACACAGAAATTATTATTAAATATATTTTTTATGGGAGAATTTAATTTATAGAACATTTGATTGGTATGCTTCAAAGTTAACATTTTTGTTATAAATTAATTACTTAGTTCATATACATGATTGATATTTATTTAAAGATCAATTTAAATTTGGTTTGAGATGGTTATTTAATAAATTATACGGTGATAAAGACTTATTACCATGCAGAAGTATTTAATGTAATAATTCACACTATTTATTTTTGGTTTACTAGTTTAAATTATAGAACTAAATCAATTTTTTCTTCATGCATTATATTGAGTACAATTTATGATCATATAAATTTATTTTATTTCGCAATGAAAATGATTTCTAGAGCTTATGTCAATACATAGGCATAAAAAACACCCATACTATGAATTGCATGAGAAAATCATTGCCTTGATATCAGAAGTCAGACAAAATCGGACGGAAAATAATTCTAAAGTTAAATTCACATACTATACTTTCTATACTATATTGAACATTTTAAATCGATTGACAAATATTAAAGATATACTCATAAAGTATAACACAAGTAACAAAATAAAGCAATTTTAATGACTCATTAAAATCACTTACTCAGTAAAATCATTATCATCAATTTCAGGGATCATTTCAAAGAGAACTACAATGATGTCTGTAGCTTTGCTTAATTCCTGCACATATTTTTAAGCAATCTCCTTGTGAAATTATTGCTTATATGAAGAAAAAGTAAACATACATACTGAAAGGTCTATGACCTCAGACATTGCCTTACACAATCGAATCATATAAAGTCAACAGTGTTCAGGAAACTGGCATTTTAATCAATTGCTGTCAACACGCAAAGGGTGAGGACGGATTTAATCAAATCCCTCCGAGTAGTTGATAGAATTCGGGCACTTTTCCCACCCCTGGGAATTAAACGACAACCGTCTTAATCCAGACGAAAAACGCCCAAATGTTTAACGACATTCATTTAAAAACTATTTTAATAAAATGATTTATAAGGGAGCGATTAGACTACGGGGATTTTTGATAAGTTGCAATTTATATGAAGATTAAAAGTAAGAGTAAGAGTAAGTGTAATAGTAGAATTACTAAAATGTTATTTCTAATATAAAATCTTACAACGCATATGACATGAAACTACAAAAATTAATTATGCATTTTTATTATACTAGCGTTCTATTATCGTTCGATCGTCAAGACAGCAATACATTTGTGACTTCTGATTGTAAATGTTTGACATACGTATTTGTCACATTTTTTGTTGAACTTAAATCATAATTATGTCAATGAACTAGAAAAGTTATTTTAATTTAAAGCCGTTTCACAAAAAATAACTTACACATTTATTTTATTTATTTAGAAAAATACTATGTAATAAACATACAAATAACTACCTGAGAAAGATATACACAGCGAACCTAAAACAATAGGTACATGGTTGCTTTCGGCTTAGTCTTACCTGAAGTTCCTTTTTTTTCTACAAAAATGGTTTCATTGTTTTATTGTAGTAACTGATAAACAATTTTTAAAGGTATTGTTACAAGTACTACCGCAAAATGACATGCACAACTATAATTTGGACTTTTGTTAAGCCCACATATAATGTATCGGAATTTAAAAAAGAGTTTTAAACATTTGCCTTTAAATCCGATTAACTATATCAAAAATGCCACGTTTCGCTTCACTGAATAAAATACATCATTAAATTATGCCTTAATAATACATTTAACTCATAAAGTAATAATATTTTCTATAGAACCATCAAATAAATCATCTCTTAAATGTATCAGACATTACTAATTATATTCATACTAAAACGTTTTTGAAACTAAAGTACAGGCACTTTTTTTTAAACAATAATCACATTTTAGCTGTTGTAAAAATAAGTTTCTATTGTTATATTTGTATTTAATTTTATTAATTGCAAGCGTATACAATTAAATCATACCATAACAAATGACGCGTCTTATGTTTGGGTTAAAGATAAACCGATCTAAGACCAAAGTGATAATTGTGGGCCACGTCAACGATAACTCGCCGAAAGTGAAACAGATTGCGAATTACGACGTTGTTCAGACCTACGTGTACCTTGGGGCTTTTATCTCAAATAACGGTCGATGCGCAGATGAAGAACATATACCATAACGGTAACCAAAACTGCGATGGAGAAGTTAAGGAAAGTTTGGGGGAATCACAACCTCACAATCTGTCCATACTCTAGGAGCTCGGCATCACAGTATAGTCGCGCATACTGCAGTTCTTTGGTCATGTCTTTAGGCAGAATAGCGACTCCATAGAGCGGCTGGTAGTGCAGGAAAACGTGGAAGGAACAAGATGCTGCAACAGGGCAGGCGAAGGGAAGATACGTGTCTGACTGTATCCGACACGAGTGTTGGCTGGCAGACCTCAACAGGGAGAGATGGCTAGAGATTATACGAAGGGCTGTGTCCACCTCTATCACCAACGTGACCACGAACGCTCTGCAAAGAGCGACACGACATGGAAGAAGATCAGGTAAGCCACCATTAACCTAGCAGTTTAATAATTACGATAACCAAAAGCTACTACACAAAACCATTTAAACTAAGAAAGTATGTCGTTAATTTATCTTAAAAATGAAACTTACTAGACTAATCTTTAAAGTTTTTACGTACATTTTCTAATCCTTAATTTTATAACATAGCTACTCTATACATAAAATATTTTATTTAGTCTGTATCTGTCTGTCTTAGTTGGTGATCAAAAAAAAAACTTATACGAATACTAACTTCTTGCAGTAATACATTTTTGTCTGTTTGTTTAAGAATAATTATTCAAATTTGTCAAACACTTTTATGAAAAATTCCCTTAAAATTCATTATACTGGTACTAGTACAAACATAACCAGCAAAAATTATGTCCAGAGGAAATAATTTCTCAATATGTTCAAGCTCAGCAAACACTACTATACTATGTATTACAAAATTAGTTGTATGTTTGTTTTCTTCTTGTATGTTTGGTCTCTCTCTGTTGTTGTTATTGTTTGTGTTTCGTGCTTCAATGTAACATGAATTTACATTATATAGATATTCGTTATATAGCTTTTAAATTTGATTTGATTGATAAAAAAATATCACCATTACTTTATACAGCATCGATTTTTACATTAAAAATGTTTTAATTACTTTTACTAAAGAAAGATCATTTTGTACACACCTAACACAAAACCAATTTTACTTGCCTATATTATATGCAAGTGTGTTTCAATAAAAACAATCTTACAACTTAACTCAGTAAAATTCAAAAAACGGATCAATAAAATAAATACCAGATATCGGAAATATTTACACGAACCCTGTTACATTAATCATAGAAAGTTGGAGAAGCTCTTAATTTTTAAAAACTAAGACTGAAACTAAGTTAAAATTGTCAATTAATTTGAGCCGTTAGTTTCATCGTCACACATTTGTTTTAGTCACATTTTGCAAAGCGTATAATGCACACTCATCATCATCAGAATTGCTTGCTAAACATAGACATCTTCCAAAAGACTTCCATATATGTCTGTGACAACAACTACGATAATTATGTTTTTGTTATAGCGTCTGTACAAGCATGAATAAAACGTACATCATTTGCACTTAGTCGCACTGTTGTAAATAAATTGAAGTGGTTATTATTGATATGAAGTTTGTCCTTAATATAAAATAAATGAAGAAAAAAGGTACGTATTT